TTCTGATATAAACCCACTTTTTAAGCGACTATCGATATATTAAAACTACAATTAGGAATTAATCACTACCGTATGAGCCTAATTTTAGGCTTATCTTCCCGATATTTACCTTAGCACGACTCTAAATACTGACAATCTCTTAGCGCCATCTACTGATTAGCCAACTGAATAAAAAACAACGAAATCACTAACTGAACGAAAAAAAAGAAGTGCTAACTGCTGTTATAGGATTACGTTATAATAAACGTAAGCTAGCTATCTCATACTAAGAAGGGAATCATACATACATAGTCCGATAACCTAGCTCTGAATTTTGTTCCAGTGTAATGTGTTGCGTAATATACGAGTACGTTATCGTTCATTTGAACGGGTACCCAACTAGTTAAATTACAAAAAAGCACAATCTTGATATCTTGCTATTACTATTGACTCTTTTTTGCAATACTGTATATTTATATGCAAATTATAATGATTTATTTTTAAACCTACTTTGGGTCTTTATCGTGAAATCTGTTAAATGAAATAATAGATATGTGATCTGTGTAATTTTTAATTTCGGTTATATTAGTATCATCGATTAGTTGCAATGTTATGACTTAAAATCTTAAATCGTCATAAAAATTTATTTCTCAGATACTAATAAATGTTTTTTCCTTTTATTTCCTTGGCTACTTTGCGTTTCTTATAACGTTGTAAATTCTGAAGCTAGTGATGATTATAATTACCACAGAATGCACAAGAAGAAATTTGTTTATTTCAATTACTACATTAATTGCATGTAAAGTATGAAATATGCGTACGATATCACTTGTATAATAGATCTTACATAGGTGTATGGAGATGATCGCGCTCATACGTCTGAAAGGAATATTTTAAACGACGACTAATAATCGATGGTTTATGGCATATATAATACTAAAAAGTAATAATAGATTGTCGGTCCTCATGAATGAGCGCATGACGACGGAGGTAAAAATTGTTAAAAGTAGCCGCTTTTGAAATCCAACTCAAATTGAGTTTAGGGAAATACACCAATTTATTAGAATTTATAAGCAACAATCTTATCAAAATTATTTAAGAGAATAATAGTGAGGCAGAACTACTGCTTTGACCAGCCAAACTATCAAATTAAATGAGACTACTTAGGAATCTAGGAATAGCTTTATCCTTAGTTTTCTTACTTCACATTAACTTCACTAATTTGAACTACTGAACTATATCACCTTTAATATACTGTGCAAAACAGCTGGTAATAAGTTGGGGTAAATTCTTAACATTGAAATACTGCAGTAATTAGATACTCGTATATTTAAAATTATCTGCATTTCTCTCATCATCTTGAAATTTTTGAAATGACCTAAAGGCTAACCGAAATCAAAAAAGGAGATTTGAATCTTTGCCCGATCATAAACACTGCCGAACTCCATCACATTTTCGTATCAAAATTGATGTATTAGTATATAAAGAACTGTTATCATCACAGTTTAGTGACTGCCTGAAATAAAATATGGCATCATATTATATTGATAAAGTATATACAATTACAATTAAAAGTATTGATGATGGAAGAATTATCTAATAACTCAATCTGATTCATATCAAAGTTTATGTAATTTGCTAAAGTAGTTAAGCTACAATTTCGTAGGCCGCAAATAATAGAAATATATCAAAGCAAAAGAGCATATGCTTTGGAAATTTATATCTGGACAATTACAGTTAAGCCAGAAAATGCTAGATCTCTTAGCTTGGATACCAAGATTAATACTAGTGCCATTAGCGCATCTCCTAGCCAATTTTACTCCTTTTACTTATATTCTATCATTAAGGCAAAAGTTTTCTGAAGTTATTACTTCCACTTATAAGAATGATGTCCTGAAGCAAGCTGTTTCCAAAGCTGGACACCGTTTTATTATCTTTCTATTTATAAATTTAATTTTCTTGGCTCCATTTCTACAATTTGCAGTACGTTTTTCGTTGACTGTTGGAACAATCTTAGCGTCGCAAGGAAGTTATTTCTTGTCCCTATTAGCACCTTTTATACCATTTTTGTTAATTCTACGTAAAGAAGCGAAGAAAGCGTATAAAGCATCTGTGTTGAAGTATAATCTAATCAAAAAATGTTATCAACACCTTCAGGAGCTACTCAAGAAAGACAACTTCTATAGATGCTTAACTTTACAGTTTAAACAAGCGAAATCACTTAAGCAAAAAGATCTTGATAAATTTATCGAGATAGAGCAATCAGAGATAGACAACACAATAAAACCTTACTTAGAAAAGCTTTATAGCGAAAATAGAGAGAAGCCAGAAAATTTAGATAACAGCGACCTAGTTCAGATTTCCAAGCTCTGTATTTATCCATTCCTTTACATCGATGATCAAAAAATAGAGCAAAAGAATAAGACAGAATCAGATTGTAAATATGGTTTACATTTTATTGCTGTAATCAGCGGAGAAGAGGCGACTGCTAACAGTAATGACAAAATTATCAAACTTGATTCAATCTTTGATCGTATGGAGACTTCCACACAAGAAATTATCACCCATTCGTTATTAACGAAAGTCTTTGCAGGGTATGGCGGAGGTATTATGGCTATCACAAAGGACAGCTATCATGACATCGAAAAACTTTTTGGTGGAGAGTATCATCACCTATTGCAGTTTATTATACAGCATTTACATATGATTGCTATTTCCCTCATTCATCTATTAGGCCTGTACTTGTATCATAAGGAAGCTGGCCAAAATCCTAGTCTAAGCTCAACTCTGTCTGTTTTACTAACTTCTCATACATTTATGCAAGGTGCTAAAGCATCGATTCAAGACGGTAAAACCTTGCTACATTCAGATGACATGTGCCAACAAATTGAACACGAAATCATAAAATATATCTTTCACTTAGCTGAGAAAGTGGAGTCTTTATCTAGTAAGAAAGCATTAGAAACTACCACCCCAACAAGCCGGAACAAACAATGTCATGACGATCAAGCCGCAAATAATGCTTAGTTTATATCATTAAATAGACTACTTTATACTAAAGTGATACAATAAATCTAGTAAACCTTAAGGATATATAATATATCTTATTAGTTGATTAATACATCTCTAAATAAAGATAACAAGCAATGATATTAATGTACGATCCAAGTAAAAATTATCTGAATGCAGGGAAGACAAACTCATATTTCCTTCTTGTTAGCAAATAAAAATTTCAAGAAGGAAAATGAATTGAAACTGATTTTAATCAATTATTGTGAATAACGAAATATAAGTTTTCTTAATCACTCTAAACTGAAAATAATAGTCAAATATAAATGTAGCGCCATTAATCCTTGGAGTAGTTCAGAATTAGAGCATTGATGAAGAAAGATTTATCTAATAACTCTATCTGATTCATATCAAACGATTAGTAATTTTCGACACGAGTTTACTACAACTTAATTAGTAAATAAAGTTAGATAAATTACATGCTATTAAGATAGTAAAATACTGTTTTATCGATAGCTCATTTTATTTATGAGCCCGGCATGTGAGACAACTTCTATCCTCTTTCGAAATTGTATTTATTCATTTTCACTTAAATTAGAAAAGAAAATAATGCTCTTTGGTTAAAATAAACCTCACTATATGCTACGTTAACTATCCAGGTAAAGAGGAACTCCTTACCGGTAAAAGTCAATAAATAAATAGCCTACGCTCATACTTGTTACTTGTAGATGATGTACACAGCATTACATGAGAATGCGTTGATAATATTTTAGTGATCGTAGTATATATTGTATTAATTCTTTTAAGATAGCATCATCACGGAATAAATTTAATAGATAAAATAAATATTACTGAAATAGCTGATAATATCTAATGTCTTATATAAAGAATACAAGTACAGCTTTTTACTATTAATTATTTAAATCTGCACATTAGAATTACAGTCCCCGATCTTTTATGCATCATAATGCAAGGCCGATCGTATGCAATCCATTAGTAAATTAAGTAAAGTCCAAATAGATTAACAATAATTATTCTAAGGCGTAGAAAGACCTATGATTGCAATTATTCTTCGAAAATATAAATAATTATGAAATGTAGTTGTAATGCTGACGAGTTTAGTAAAAAGACTGCGTTTGTCTTTTGTAGTTAACGATTCTGTTTATTGCGATGGCACTGCGACACGAAACGTTGGCAACACATACTGCCCTTTGTATACGATTACACAGAGATATATTCTACATAATGCAGTGATAATTATCGGGGCGCACGATAGAGTAAAACTTGTTTAGAACTAGTCGCTTATCTAATGACGATACGATACGTGTACTATTACAATAAACTAGCATTAATGTCGCGCCGATACACTCAGTGTACATCTACAGTAGTCATATAAATAGTATTATAATCGAGTTTGTAGTCACTTTATTAAATCATCGATTTTATATAATAATGTTTTACATCATCTCGCTAGGAAACTAGCTACTGTATTAAAGGACTAAAAGCAACGTCCTTCATAACTTATAGTACGTAACTATTTTAATTTAATATACAAAATACCTAGAAAGTCATAGTATCTTTTAGTTTTACCCTGCCAATTCTTTATGTCGCCATCTTTTCTTCTTTATTAATTTACTAAGTATTATATAGATTACAATAGGAGTAAACTAAGAGCAATCACCTAATCTAAAGAAAGGACATTTCATAGTATACTGAGATTATAGTGTCACGGTACGCCGTTACTAATTAAGTAACTGTAAATTAATGAAAGCTTATGAATAGATAAGATAAGGTTATGTGCTATGTTTTAATGCGCTTGTAGCTGATAATAGGGTGGTAGAAATGAGATAAAAATAGAAGTTGTTAGCAGTTAATTTACTGTAGGTTTATAAGGTGTGTTAATCTCTAAAAATTGAGCTGTATATAGACGAAGGTTAAGTGTCTTAACACCTGATAGCTTGTAGCTATCTAAGTCTGAGAATATCGACATGTATATTTAGTAATGGTATTATACTAGTTAATGTAACTTGTAAAGCATGAATTCTCACTCGTAAT